GAGAGAGAGAGAGAGAGAGAGAGAGAGAGAGAGAGACAGAGAGAGAGAATCTCGTTCGTTCGGTTTAGCTGGATAGAAACTCCTTTATTGCGCCGAGGATTAATTTCCTCGTAAGAATAACTAGAGTGCACGCGCGAGAATCTTTGAGGATGTTCCGGGCTAATTACCAGAAAGCTGTGGAAACCGTATTGTCTTGAAACGTTTGAAGGGTGAACGGTGATATTATTACAGCGCCTCGTCAAAGTGTGGGCCGAAATTCTTGCGCAATTAAGTTTTCCGCAACTTCTTTACGCGAAAGATTGGAGACGAGTGTATTATCCGTTTCTCCGACTTATGCGGAATTATTCGTTCCGCGATGTTGGTTGAAAATTATGAAAATATGGTTGGTGAGGATGAACGCGAAGCAACGTGAACTTAAAGCTGGATAAGGATGAGAGAAATAAAATTTTCATGGGTATATCTCTTATGAACTGAATAATCTGAATAATCTCGTGTTCGTTACGTGTTTGAAAAATATAGTTAACACTTGACGAATCTAAATAAAAATACTCTTAGTAGTTACTTTTAATAAATAATATAAATTGATGAGAATTAACATCGAGTACGCTTGCATCAAGATTAAGAAACAAAAACTGCCTTGTTCTACATTTATATTTTTGCTATTAACAAATTATTTATACTCCATCGATTGTCAAAATCGTATATGCTACGAAAAATACTAGGCGAATACTTGCATACAAAAAGAAAAATAGAAGATATTATTTCCCTTATTAAAATGAAGAAATGAAAAATAACAAGTTGATCGAACAACTTTGGAAGAAGAAAAATATTACGTCTATCCACTATCACGTTCTCGCCAATCCATCAGTCCTCACCTCGCCGATCCCAGAAGAATGTCATTGTCCAACCGATTCCAGAAACCAATTTCGGATTGTCTCAATTCACCGTTCACCGATTCGTAATTTAATGCTTTTTTCACCCCGTCTAAAACGGATGAGAAATGGAGAACGGAAGGAAGAGCCGAACCGGTTAAAGAGGGACGAAGATAAATTTTCGTGAAAGGTAGAGCGAGACGCGTATAACCGACCGCCGGTAACCGAAGAAAGAGAGACGGAAGGATGCACCGGGTCTGCTACAGATTAGAGATATTTATGGTCCAGTAAATCAGATACTGTCTCCTCTTTTCCGTGCGTACCCGCGCGACGTTGATTCATCAATATAAGCTTTTCCCAGAGCCAGTGTTCGCGATATATGGCCGCTCATAAGCGCGCAGAGGAAGAGAAAATGAGAGGGAGAAGAGGAGGAAAAGAGTAACCCTCGTATGAAATGTCGATAGTGAAACGACAGCTGGTAAATCGAGGTTGGGTTCGATCTATCGTAGGATTTCGACGGTCGCACGGACTGGAACCGATAAAAACTTACGACCAGTTCTCCGTGTTAAGTGCTGTGTTTCGCGCTTTTTTTTTTTCTTCCTTTTTTTTGTTTTTTAATTTCAGCAGCTCAAACTTGAATGAATTCGCGTGGAATGTTTTCATCGAAAAAATGAAATTCATCAGTCTGCATGGGTAAATAGGAATTTATTAGAACGTCGAGACGATTTGTAGATTATTTAAAAAATTTTATCAATAATAAGGTTATATATTTGGTATTCTATAAGCGTTTGAAGATATTCGAAGCTTCGAATTTTGAATTCTTTTTTGAAGAATTCTCTGTATTCTCGTATAATTAAATATAAATGACGAGTATTAAAATATTGATTATAAAGTTTTGTAACAAACAGTTATTGTTACAATTTATAAATATTCCACTCCAAAATCTCGTTACTTTTTCCGTTAGATTCTCGTTATTTGCACTTGAAACTTGAGTAATGTGAAAAAATGCTAGCTTTCAACCCCTTGTAAAACGTAAATGAATATAATGAGCAACGGTGTAGAACTTTCGTGAGAATTATGAGTGTAAAGGCAACTGCTTCTTGATATCGTTTTTGTTCGCACCAGGGATTGAAGAACTAGTATTATGTACAAAAGAGCTTGTAAAATTAAAATTGATGGAGCGAGACTGTTAACTTAGTTTTATACTCTGTCGCTTCGGAGTAAAGGTAAATGTAGTAAATCACAAAATTAGATTAAAGTTGGTCCCTGTATAACCTGGTATAACTTTCAAGCAACGTTGCACATGCTTCCGCTTCTACTATCTTCAATTCCAATCTTTTTTTTTTTTTTTAAGTCATTCGCGAATTTAGAGAAAAAAAAAAACTTGTACATAAATCTTAAGCTTAATAAATCTTGTTGCGCGATCTATTAATCTCACTTGGCTATATACATTCAAATCTTACACATCGTATACATAACACTTGAATTTATCATACTTCATCCTATTAAAGTGAATATTTCCATTTTTTTTCTATATAGAGTGTTAACATGTTCTCGTGAAGTACTTTTAGAGAAGCATGAAACAAAGCAGTTTAAGTTTGCTTTAGATCTGCTCTCATTCTTCGATTGGTTATAACTTCAAACAAAAATCTTCCAAAGTCCTTTTTTATAAACCAATCTTCACGTTCGTTTTGCCCTTTAGAATCTAGATTAACATCCTTAACATGAATATAATTTATAGATAATTGTTATATAAATTTCTGTAATAAATGAAAATTCATTCGGTTTTCAGTTTTTTTACTTCTCATGACGTGGCATATTTGCACGTATTTTCGCAATTAAACTCGTTTAGCGTTAAATCGATAATGGGACGACCCCTCTTATTTAAAAAGCATCGGTCAAATGGTCGATATTTTGTTCGAATCGCAATTATTTTCGAGGGTTGGTTAAATCGGTAAACAGATGCAAAACGATGGTGAAGAATAATCAAGTATGGAAGTTTTATCAAATCGATAATGTTCCGCGAGTGTGGTTCATATTTTCAGTGATGAATCGCGGTTATATTCGTTTATGCGTGGAAACACGAGAGGGAGAGAGAAATTCACCTCTCTCTAGGAGTAGAGAGAATGTTAATTAGCGTTCTGATCGAAAATCAATGAACTACTTTGTTGGGCAACGCAATGCTACGCATCCCTCTAATAAATCAATTTGTTGAATTAATTAATTGAAATCAAGTTGCGAGTGAAAATTTGGATCGAAACTTCTGTTCCGATGAATGAAATTAATTAAATCTTCTAAAAGTAAAAGCAATTTAGCAACATGATTTTCACAGATTTTCGGATTTTTATCAGCTCAGTTAAAATTATCTCTTTGCCTTAAGAAAATTTCCATTTCCATCCCAATGTTAAATTAAACTTTCATTGTATTTTCGTAAGAAATTCGTAAGAACTGTATAAATAATCCAAATTATTTGATCATAAAAATTAACCAACACTCCGATAATAAAATCCCATTTACGACGAATAAAATAAAAAATAAAATGTAATAAAACGAATTAAAAAAAAAAAAAAAAAGAAAAAGAAACGAAATTGGGAACGAACAGGAATAAGCTTCGATGATCAAAATTTAACCGTGCTTCCTTTTTACCTTCGCTATCCATTTTTGCCGATCCCCGTCTATCCCTCTTCACCTACTTTTTTTCTCGTAAATTCCTATTTTACAGATAAGTTCCATAATGTCACGCCGCTATCGCGCTTCCCTTCTCCCCCCCCCCCTCCCTTTTTCCTTCCCATTTTATTCGCGAGCAATACGACAAGAGGAGGAGGAAGGAAGGACAAAAAGGGTAAAAACTCGCAACTCGTGTAGAAGAGGGTGAAGAGGAATGAATCTGCGATGACGAGGAGAACGAAACAGAGTAGTGGTAGTTGGAAGGGGGCGTTGGAATAAGAGAAACAAAACGGTGCATTTATTATGTAAAGGGAACGAGACTTTTTCTTACCCCCACCTCCTCCTTGCTCGCGTTATTTCCCATTCAAAATCCGTCGGGATTAATATTGCATTGCAACCACTCGCTAAACCTACGAGGTAGCCAAGAATGTCTATAACGTTCTTCTTAAAAAAATGTGGAAATAAAGAACAATATATATTTTCAAGAACAACGCTATCGTGTTCGCTGTACGTATAGAAATTGAGACGGAAGATTGCAAATTTATTAATTCCACAAATTTTTTTTGGAAAATTATTATGAACAGTGATGAGACTTTTTTACAACAAAGTTTATGGAAGAGAAAAGAAGTCTAGTTAACGAAGAAGAAAGAGATCGTTTTATATGTGTGTGAATAAGAAGGTCTAAATTTTAAACGTTTAATCCTTGCGTGTGAAAGGGTCACTTAATATCCGAGTTATGAGACAGAACAAAGAATGCATGTCCTTAACATGTCTGAGGCAATTTATTATTTATAATATATTCGTAATTTTTAATTACGGCATCGTGGCTTTTTTCTTTCATATAATAAAAATTCTAAAAAATTCTTTGACGATATTGCTAACTCTTTTGTTAACTTGGCCGTATTAATTATTGGCCACGGATTACGATCATAAACACGCGAATTATAACGATTTATCCCTTCAATTTCAAAAATAAATTAATTAAGCGCATATTATGAATGCACTAATAAACGTCAGTATAATCCTTTATAATTAATCATTTGTCGGAACGAGCGGCCATCGAGAATACGAATAATAATTAATGCCTAATTAAATCGAATATGCGAGATCAATTGAAAATATTGGCGCTCGGTATCTATTAAAATCTTAATTAATATGACAAACAAATATCGCATTAATTCAAAAAGTCGATATTAATTTCACCTAATCGCTATCCAAACTGTACTTAAAATTGAATAGGCGCGATGAGGAAAATTTGTTTGCCCGATTTACTGTTACACTCGTAAAAAAATAACGAGCAAGATTTCGGTGTTATATAATAATGAATTGCGAAAAAAGTGTTCCAAATCTTAATACGCGTTTAATAAAAATTAAATTTTAACATAGATTACATTCGAATTCACGGATTAAAAAGTCACTTGTGTGTGAAGTATATTTAACATGAAAAATATGTATTTAGAAATCCGTGGTCACGTTCCTGCAACGCTTGTTTGGCCACGACTATCTTATTCTACTTGATTGATCACACGGCACTCTTGTTCCACTTGTCTAACTATGACTGGCTTATCTTACTCGCCTGATCATAATTGCCCTACATTACTCGTCTGCCCATAACTGGCCTGTTCTACCCGACAAACCATGATTATTCTACACCACTTGTCCCGTCCTATAAATGTCCCGTAACTTGGGCAATATCCACTCGTCAAGGCCGCAAGAGAGGAAGGAAACCGATCCAAAAAAAAAAATACCAAAATTCTAACGTACGTTATTATATAGGATTGGCGCGGAATTCGAATGCTGCGCGCATTGAAATTTAATTCGCATGCCTTTAAACTCGACGAGGATGCTCGACGATCCCCCAATAAAAATGATATTGCGTTGCGGTTCGAATAAATATGTCCGCTTCGGGGTACCGCTTTGAACAAAAGCGTTTCCAATTGGCAATTGGTAATACGTACAAGACAAAAAGAGCGACGTGACGATCGTGATGACA